CTAGGCGAGTTTCGAGAGATTTTCGAAAATGGTGACGATAGTTTCGCAATCTGCAGCAGCGTTGATGCAAATATCAAGCACGTCACTTTTTCAATGGCCTCTTCCCTCGATATATAGCCAACGGTTGAATGAGAAAATACATGTAATCTGTGCATTCTGATCTGCTTATTGGCATAAAATTGTGGTTTGTCATAATCCTGCTAATACTGATAAATATCTAAGCCGTAACATACATAATTACTTAAATAATATGGGCGTAGGTAGAAGTTTAATAGGCAAAGCTCTGAAATACAGCAAAGGTGAATTTATCATAAAAAAATTAAACGTTTAATTGACTTTCCTGATAACAATAATTATCGAATCAAATTCGTTCATAATATTATAAAACGTTTCTGAAGATAAATTTTACTTGATTATTCCTTACCGTAGAAACCTTACTAGAATGTTAGAAAGGTAGGTCTACATTAAATGTAATTTTAGAGTCATGCGTAAAAGTTATAATAAGACATTTACCCTATTAACTAATTCTGAGAATGCAAGGTGGGTTTGTAAATTACTGTGTTTCTGCGGGAAATGCTACATAGTAGAAACATGAAACAACATCAGTCGGAGAACAAAGAACCGCCTTGGTGAAGATCAGTGAAAGCAGACGAGCATCAGGGAAGAAGACAGAGCCTAGCCAGCAACGAATTCGAGCAACAATGCGAAAAGAACTCTGAGATGGTAAAGCAGACGACACTGGAGGGGCACGTGTCCAGTGGTCAGGCTGCACCGATATCATGAGATACACTTTTGAACAAGCGCGTCAAACAGTCATTAATAATACAGTCGATCGAGAATGTCAACCGTGGCAAAGAACGTGGAAACTGTGCAGATTGGACGAACCTTGTCACCTCTGCTACAATGAAACTATTTAACCAGCACATGGACAGAGAGTTTGACTTTTGGCTTCAAGTCTATGAACAGCTGCGAGCAAAGAAAACCTCCTTTTTCCTACCTTGACGAGGGCTCGTAAGACAAGGACAAAAATATCGGCACTGGTCAATCGGATGATTTACAGACTGTTTCATGCGATACATGAATAAACCCTGTTTCATGCCATTTTCAGTATTACCACAAACATATGGACGAATTCTTGGTTAGTTAAAGGGTTCTATTATAAAGACGTAAATTGTTCATTTTGAGAAACACTGAATCGGTGCTGGTGATAGTAATGGCAACTATTGAAGAAAATTAATTAGAAACACTTTTTTAGCCTAGCAGTATCACTTAGAGAATGAGGGAAGGATTAAATAAATATCGATCGGTGACGGGGCAGAAACGTTGTGGAAAGTCATTCAGCGTTGCATGTGAAAGTATTGTTTCTAATCTTGGCGCAGCATAAAGCCTTCTAATTGCCATGCATTCTTTTGAGCATAAATTTCCACAGATTTTGAACCACCACAACAGAGCTAATCAAAAATAGGCGATGGATGGGATGTACCATGATACAGCACCATCGAGTGCACCACGAGTGATAATCAATTTTTTCAAGCACTGAAATGAGTAAAATTGAGCATCGTCAAAAGATTGGCGTAGCTTAGAAAAATTCAGTCCCCTTACCCAAAGTCAGATATATAATTTACAGAACCAAAGACAGCTACAAACGGTTATATTCAATATTGCAGATTTTTAACCAATCCTTAGACAAATCGTCGCAGTTTTATCATGGCTGTCGGAAGCACTCGGAAAACTTTAAGGCATGGCGAGGGATTTCACATTGTAGCGAGCTGAAACGAAACTTCTTTCAATAGCCTCGGTAACTTTCACATTTCTGAAGCACTAGTTTACTAACTACTCAGTTCTGCAAAATTAACACTTTGCCATTGGGCAACTCGCCATGACTCAACATATGTCTAATCCGCGTTTATCACTATCACATACATTAACAAGCATCTGTGATAGATGAACAGGAACATGGTGTCTTCAACGACCGGTATTGAAAAATAGCGACCATACACGCCGTCGTACTCAATAAAGGCAAATTCAAGCAAGACATAATAGCGGTTGGTTTTGTTCTCTCTGAGTGACATTTTCTCGGCCTGTGGCCGAGTTTACTCGATCACTTTTCAGTCATTTTCCGTTGTTAACAAACGGAATGGAGTAAGGGTACAAAGTTGTGCGTTAGGAAACTCAACAATGAGTCTATAAAGTTTCACACTAACGTTCGTGCATGTAATAGCGATCCGTTTATTTCGATCCGAAGTCAGACTGCCGTAATGGCAGCCAAAATACCTCATGACCTCATGACTCTCTAATATGAACAACTACAGCTTATTACTCTTATTATTACTTCTATCGTTACGACGGCTTTACAAACATGGCTTCAACGTACTTAATCAGCATTCTATTTCACACGTTTTCGTTATTATTTGAAGAGTGACCACAGGCTTATTTTCCTAGACATTCATAATCGTACTGTGTATTTATAAGCAACAAACGAGAAAGGATACAGCCGCTAGAATGTTAGCACACATTAC